GGGAAAGAAAGTTTCACAAGCCTTCAATTAACGAGATATAACGGATACCAAAGTTCTTAAAGGGCCGCAAACAGTTCAATGCATTCACAGAAGGATATAATGGTTCTTAATACTAGAACTAATAATCATTTCAACAAAGAGCTATAACAGTTTTTACGAGGCAATTTCTTATGTCGAAAAATTCAAAACACGAGATTAAATCTCGAGTACGATGACACCGCAATCTGCACGTAAAGATGCTGATCCGAATCGTAGATAGATTGAGCGATCTACTCGAAATGGACGTTCTATGGACCGTTTGGACCCAAAGACCATATGTGTGCTTTGGAAGGGGGACGAGCGCAACGCGGGGAGCAGCTGAGAATCGCAATGGACCCTTCGTCGGAGTGTGGGAAGATTTGTTAGGGGCACGTGACGCGCGAGCGGTCACATCAAGGAACGTGGGAACGGCAACAGAAGTGTGACGAATTCGAGTAGAAAAAAACCTCTTTTGCGGGTTCGATCAAAGATCATTTGAAGCGTTTGGGTGCAAATGTACTCAACAATGATTTGGGCTCAGCGCTGCTCCTTCCGCCTTTATTCCTGCTGAATAGATGGGCAAAAAGTCGTGACTGCATGGCGCGAGTAGCGCTAACAATGACACCAACTTCAAGCTTCTGCATACACCTTCCGTGATGTTTTTACGATCCCATACTTTCCGTCATCCCGCCGTCGTCGGACGAGGGTGAATACGAATGCGTAAGCCTTACGCAACACATATTCGAATGTTTGAATGTCGTCATAGAGGTCTCTTTTCTCGCTTCTACACCACCCGACACCTCATTTTTCGAAGTGAACAAAAGGTTGAAGAAGGTACAGACAATGGAGAGTTGTTGATGTAGAAAAACAGGCTGACAGGGACGTAGTTTGAAACTTGAAAATGAAGCATATTTCATCAGATCTAAGCCCTATCTTCGGGTTTAGCCCACGAAAAAGGTCAGAGCAAATCATGAACAAATGATGCACGGAAAATGCTAAGGAGCGGTCAATTTTAATTTACATCGATGTTTCTAGATGTCGTAGCAACTTGTTAGGCAAAATCCAATCAACTAGATGTTATCCTTTCTACCCAAATATGGTGCTATTTGAAAACATTGGAAATGTCAGTATTTGAGAGCTTTAACCTACTAAATTCCTTACCATCAGTTCCCCCATTCAATTCAAAACACTGTCATGATGCAGCTGTCAAAAACAGGCAAGAGATAAGGGCAAGATGTTTTTCTCTTGAATTTGTAAATGTTTGACAAAAGGTG